CGTACTTAAGAGCCAATTCTCAACAGAAAGGCAATACAAATTTTTAGCAGTGCTTCATTTCAGAACGACTATGCATATTATTTCTATTGTCTAAGCGTACACTGAATATCACAGAGAAAATTGTATATGATTAACGGTAGTCCGTGGTCAGTTTATGACTTGAAAATTTGAAACCATTGGGAAACACTGATCTCTTAAAGCTTCCAAACAAAAGCGTAAGCAGTTTATGTGCATAATTTCTCTTAGTGCATGCCTTTCTTCTCTGTAACTAATCCGGAATATCAAAATACTTCTGTGCGATAGAATGACAGAAATACACGAAAATATTCGCCGCTCCAACCACAAGAATCTGAAACTAATTGCGTTTTACCCATTTTTAAACAAATAGATGGTTGGGGTGCCTTTTCGGCCATGAACAAGATAACCCACACTATCCGCGATAACACTTCATGATAGCCTCCATGACGCGAATTCTCGAAATACAACTATAGTGCGTGGAGTAGAAGTGTCCGCCTTCTTCGTAAAGTTACGATCTTAGAGACAAAGTCTCTGCCGGCAAATGGCGTCTTGTATGAGGCCTATAATTAGTTTGTACCAACAAAGAGGCACCAAGAGGTAGACTCGATATTTTGTGAGCTATGTCCTGTCATTCTGATTACCACTGAAACACAGCTTGTCTGTCATTTAAGACACCTGTACTATCAAGGTTTAGTTTTCTGTATAAATGCGCATTCAGTGGTCAAAAGGGGATAGAGCATTTCCCTCAGTAACAACTCCACCTGTATTCGGCCTTTCCAACCCATACTCCATTAAGGTGGATCATGCGAAGTGGTCAATTAAGAAATTACGTTTGAGCGTCACATGCCTTTTACCTCCGTGCTGTATCAAAGTCTGGACTAATGGTGTACAGAGCACACAAAGCAACACAGAGGACTGGAACGCTGCTTCATTTTAAATGAGTCTGACGCTCTCCATGAAGGCTGGAAGCTATTCTTTCCTCAAGGTCCATTGATAAGGCTGAATTGAGACAGCTTCTGAACCTTACGGAGAATGACTCTCGGGTGCTATTATTTAACACCAGGGCATGTCTGATGTCAGAGTCTGTCTCGAAGTTTGGGGTTCAGGTATCTAGCCATTGGGTAATCAACTTTAAACGTCGGCTGATGACTCACTGTTGACTTCTTCACTGGTGGTGGAATGTATAAATCCAGAATATTTATGCTAAGACAATATTTCTATATATTTTGATGTGCTCCATTGAATGACTAGTTGTTATATTTCTCCCACAAACCAAAGACTAAAACGACAGCAACCATATAATTTAACCACAAACCAAATTTATATAATTTACATAATGTTTGTCCATGCATGTACAACTGGTGTGTCCTACACAGGTAGGAAAAATATGTATTTTATTAAATCATTATTATTAAATATGCTTACTAATCGTATATGTAATTTATCATGTTGATGATGCCTGTAAACTGACGCCCCTCATGAACAAAATGAGAATATATTATTATTACTATTATTAGAAATACAGTTGCAATAGTTGCATCGCCCCATTCTGCAGGAACAGCAATATACAAATTAAAGGCTCGAGATATTTCTGATTTTTATGAGGGCTTAGATCTTTATCTTGATAAAGATAATAATGAACGCCTTGATAGATCATGCTTCTACCTTTAAATATATACCATTCACTCAGCCTATTGTTGAGATGCGACCATGTGGGCTCTGCACAGATATATGGGGCATCTTACAAACTAACTTGCTGTCCATTGACTGATCTTTAAATACCACTTCACAATTTCTTATCTCATTCATTTTCCAATAACGTCTTTACTTGATCCTCATTATATCCCATTAAACCTAACATTTTACAGCTCTTTATGACTTATTATATTCCTACTCTCTGAAGGGTACGGTTGTACACTAAATGCACAAAAAGGTATAAAACAAAAACAACTGGCACAACTGAGGATAAATGTATTAAAACCAAAAGTGGACATCATGATAGTACGAGATATACGTGTAGCATTATACATTGCAAATGAACGTTGTCAGCCTAGGGAGTTTTCTTTATTAATGCATTTATTAATGATACTTGCACTTACCTATTTCATTACAATTTAATGATTCACCTCAGCACTTTTACTTTTCTAAAACAGCTTTCAATCCCTTGTAAACGTTGTACTTACCTCAATTTTGGTTGGTTATCGTATGCCGACAACCACGGGATGAAAACGAAACGAAGTCGATTTTCCCGCTCAACCTGGAGGACAATTGTACAATTCAATAACTATACAGCCTAGTTCAGACAATGTGTATTTATATATATATATCAAATATTTAACTGTTGAAACATTATTAACTAGTAGACAATCTACGATTTGATATTATATCATACTTGACCGTGCCTGTAAAAATGGCATGCATTTTCATGTAAATTTATATGTTTATATGAGAATATATACATTATTATTATTATTATTTAGATTTATCTCAAACGAGGTGGGTCGACGAATACTCTCCGGAGGGAATATAGCTTGTAGCATTCTCTTTAGGAGGAGTTATATGTTATGGAATTCCTTATGTTCACTTATACTTCGCATTTCCCGGAAAGTGTGGTGGTGTATATACAGTGCACTTTCTGGGGGATGATAATGGATGAATACTCTTCGTTTCTTTGAAGGAAACCATCCTGAATATTTTTTCGAGAATTAGTTGTCCGAAGCATAATTCACAAGTTTGACCATGTACTACCATCCCGCCTGTCTGATTACAAACTTAACCCCCACTATGATATTATTCAGCATGTTTGGATTAATAGATGCATCGTCCATAAAATGTGTGACTTTGGAGCCAGTCATTCTAGGTTTATAAAAATGCTATTGGCACAGGAAAGGTATATTCATAAACCACGACGAAACATTCCATAAGGAGTTCTACCCAAATCTTTTGGTAAAGATAGGTTGTATGGGAACTGTAAAAATAGTAAGAGATGAGATTTAGGACTTCCTTCTTGTCAGAGAAAAGAGAGTGGAAGTCATCTGACTCTCATCATGGTGGAGGCCACTGGAAGATTTGCACGCCTAAAGCCATAATTTTCATTCGTTCTCTCCTTTTCACCTACTTAAATGAGGTATGGTTGACAGATGGTTCATACTGTACGTTGTTCACTGATGACATTCGATGGATTGCAATAGATAAAGATACTGTTCATCTTGCTATGCAAAAACATTTCATATTTACTGGCTGAACGATTTAAACTTTAGCCTTTTCTACCGAAATAATTTTCCAAATTATCTACCGATAGCTCATATTGTTGGAGAAGACAATGTTACGGTTCAAAAGTTTACTTCTGACTGCTTTTGATGACACTTCACAGTACAAATGCCATGGCCAAAATATCCACGTCTGGAAGCTCATTTCTCACATCAGGTCATTAACCAGTCGAATTCCCCATTAGATCACATCGTATCAGCAACTCATGGCGAACCACCCGATGCAGGACTGAGCCTCCACTGTGCCGGAAGACAAGAGGATTGATAAGAGCCTAAATTCCGCTGGATCTGAAATATATCTGACCTCAGAAGCTCTTAGTGCAGCTACAAATCCCCACCTGCAAATTAACAGTTTACAGCAGCTATCCACGATGGTATAATATGAACATCGCCATTGTCGAACATAACGGTAAAGGAATAGCGGCAAGAGGTAGCACATGAGGTGGCTCTTACCTGAATGAATCCGGAAGTCTAATAACACGAGCAGAGGGCCATCACCCTGACTAACTATTACCTGGTTCGCCTACTACGGATACTACTATCTGCAGCGCAACGTCTCAACGTTGTCCATCAACAACCCGCTGAACCTAAATTGGTACCTTTTTGTCTGATTAAGGACTACTCAAGACTTACTGAATACAATCGCCTCAGAACGCCATCGCTGTTATTTAGCTCTTCCCTCAAAATAATTGCTCAAGCTTAAGACGGTCAGGAAACATAGTCGTTACATATTTAGAGTCAGTAGACAACTCATCACTGACGGTACCATTCCGTCAACACTTTAAATGGATTAGGAATTTTCGGGAGCAACCAGAAGGCCACGCCTGGTATGACTGACAGGCATATTGGCGAGACTGCAGCACAGATTGCTAGTCAGATTTCGTGAGGGAGCCATTGATGTGACAAGTTGACTATCCGGAACTGAATGTATACAGTCAAGATTAGGAACCTAGTACTATCAGTAGCTCCGAGATGGAAAACTGCAGCTCCCCTTATTAGCGATGCATATTCCGAAAAACTAAGGAAAATTTTGATGGCGAAATTTCGGATTCCGAATGGATTGTCTACATCTTGTCATCACCTTCTTTCGAATTTAGATACCACACACTTCGTAATCTAATTATTGCCCACACACAGCAAGATTCCACATCTCCTTTCACCCGTAATATATTTATGGAAGATTTCCTGTATACGCAAATAAACGCCTTAAAAAATTCCCAAGAACACCAGAGAAAAACAAATTTTAACGTCCAGAGCAATTCGATGAACCCAGAGTCAAAATTCGGATGAAATGCAAAAGAGCTAATGTGATGCGCTCCAAAAAAGTGACTTTAAATTTCGGCTTAAATATAGCAAAAACGTTCATTGTAAGCAAGATTATAGGGAGAGCGGACATGTCCCGCAATCGATAAATCTTAAGAAAGTTCTGTCGATGTTTATGACGCTTTAACTATACACATTTATGGCGACACAGCATGCAAGGTTATGTCAAAGATTTATAGTTATGTATATTTTCTACCTGCATGACATCAAGACAGTCTTTTCCTTTTTAAGCCTTCATTTTTACTCAAAATAATAATTACAAGGGATTTGGATTTATATGATCATTGTGAATGGCGCGTTATCACGGAAGTTGGGTGTTGTTTAAATTAGTGACTTAACTGGGGCCAGAAGTTAGCGCGTACGCTTGCCTCGTGTTAATTGACCAGGGGAATGGTAGGTTGTCGATTACAGTGATTGGATTTTGACCAATTCTCTAGTCTCGAAGCAAGCCCAAAAAGACAAGGAAGTTGCGTGGACACGTAAGTCATGGTCATGGGCGAGTTGGAAAGCACCGTAAACACCCTGGTGGTCGTGGTAATGCAGGTCTTGAGCACCACCATCGGATCAATATGGACAAGTACCACCCAGGTTATATTGGCAAAGTTGGGATGCGACATTTCCACTTAAAAAAAAATCCTTACTATTGCCCGACCATAAACTTGGATAGACTGTGGTCTCTGGTGTCTCAATCCACCTATGAGAAGCATAGAGATTCAACCGATGGCAAAGTACCAGTAATCGACTGTCTGCGTAAGGTGAGTGTATGCGTTTTCCTCATTCAGATAATTTTCAGGGTTATTTCAAAGTTCTAGGCAAGGGACATCTTCCGAAAGTTCCTGTCATCGTTAAGGCTAGGTTTTTCTCCCGTAAGGCAGAAGAGAAAATACGGTCAGTTGGAGGTGCGTGTGTACTAACAGCATGAATAAATTTCAGCTAGACGGCTTGTTCTTTTCATTTTTCTGGTTGTTCTGAAATGGTATGTTAACCCGTTAAAGCTGCATATTCTGCCTCCTGGTTGAACCGTCAGTACTTCGCATTGACGTAATAAAAAGCCCATTATAGCGTAGGTACTCAGCTAATTACGTCAATTTCTTGGGTGTGTTATCTATACTGACTCGATAAGTTATTCAGTGTGATCACTGCTTGGTAATAATTCAGTGTGCAACTCCGCAAACGTCTACGGAGATGGCATTCGAGACATGGAGTTAGCTAGTAAGTAGCTTCTTAGGTCTTGTCCTATTCACATGGTGACCGGGTTCTACGAGTTTTTGCAACCAATTACGGTGGCGGCGCGGACGTCATTGATACTTCCTTTTGTTGGGTCTAAAAATGTCATCATGCGATGTAGTCGCGGTTGAAAACTGGCTTGTAGGCCTCCAGGGGACTTATAGCTAGATGGAATATGGAACGAGACATTCACAGAGAACAAGTAGTGTGTACTGACAGTCGTTGAGTGTAGTAGCTATTCCCCGTTATGTTTTTGTGCAGTTCAGGCTTTCGAAGACGCTGACGTTTTCTAGCATCTAGCCTCATTCGTTATGCTAAGCACCTTGTCGACTGAAACTGGTTAAAAGAATGCAGGTTGTGTTTCCTTTCGACGCATCCTGGTTCGAGCACTTGGCCACAAGTTATTCCTCTCAAAGGATGTCCAGATTGTCGGAAACATCCATAGAATTTTAGCACAAGGTACACCGCTACGATTGAAGTTCTCTGTTACTACAGTTTTTCCTAACACTCTGGATGCGAGTGACTTGTGTTCATGGAGTTCATAACTTTGTCTTTATAGACTAGGTTCTCACGTTGTGGGCATTACCAAGGAAACAATTGTCCTACAAAATGTCTCAGCAAACGCTGATGAGTTTATTGCGTAACCAATCAACGCGACTGTCGAATTCAACAAATGTATCGTAATAGTTATGCTGCAGTTGAGGTCTATTTATAGGTAGTCGACTTCAGACGAAATAAGCCCTAATCTATCGTTATCTTATTACAAAGTAAGACATTTGAACCCATACTGATTAGCTATCGGTTTGGTACTGTTTAATTGTATTGTCAGGCTTGTCTCCTTTTTTCTGAGAGCCTTTCAAGTGAGCCTTTTTTCGCACGGACATGAAAACCTATCAATGTCAGTATGATGTTGGAAGGACTATAACGACCAAGATTCCTGTTCGAGATTATGGTGAACTGTTTTTAGGCAGGTTACAAGCAATTGATTTCTCTTTCTCATTAAGCGCATTCTAGAACAGCGTGATGAGTGTTGCACTGATGTCTACAAAATCCTTCTTTTCGGTTCTCCAACAATTACATTAAGTCAGAACATAACGACGTTTGAAATTATGCAGCATAGTGATCATGGTAGTATCTTAAGCAACAATGTCAGGTAGGCTGAGGTAATCGGGGAGACTGAATAAAATACAATGAGTAATTTTGTGTCTTGACTCCCCGTACTGTCAAGAAAAGCTGTGTGTAGCGTTTGTTTGCTCAAACAATTTATTTCGCTCAGTTTATCATTTGTAGGCAGCTCTATCTAAGTGTAACCTTGATGCCACCACATAACAGTTGGGTCGTAAAACATACAGTGCATGCGCCACTAGTTTGACAATAAAACGGAAGGATGTGTTTGTAATAGATAGTAATCTTACTATGAAATCAAGCTTACAGTATCTTCGTGGTTTCGAACTTTGTATCGCCTGCTTACTACGTTGCGAGTTAGTCCAATACAAACTATTCCGCACCCATTATTTTCCTAGGCAGTTCAGAACGAACATGTACGAAATATGTAGTCTTTATACGAGGATTCTGCTAGTTGAAAAAAGAACGTCTGTCAGAAACTATTCGCTGGATGAAAATGTCCTGAAAACAGAATCCACTAATAGTTACATTTTCAGTGTCTTTGTTCAGACCATAAAATGGTACTGAATGCTTGGAAACGATGTGTTCGAAGATCCGCTAAGAATTCGTAACCATTTAGCGATTTACCTTTGACAGTAAGCACAAAATCGGTAGCCGGTTGGTGGATTTGCGCGAAGTAGTTTACATTTCGCCAAGTATTTTATTGAATCAAAGTAACAGAAGCCACGATTGTTCCAGTTATTTATGGCAGTGTAAAACATTAATACATTCCCTATCGCACTTCCGTCCAGATATATATTGTAATGAGAACAACAATCGAGTATTTTGCTCCTAGTAAATTGTTCATCTAAGATCGTCTGAAAAACATGGTTTTGTTCGTGTTAAGTACAAATGACTGCGGAATATTAATGACAGTTTCAGTCAGTGAAATAACTTCTATCAGTGAATCCAAATATTGATTAGGCACCACTATCATATATAAGTTGTTACCACGCGTCATATCGACGCATATACAGATGTAACTGCTTCTGTATCCCTTGTCATCTAGGTCATACTCAGAGGAACTCGTATTTACGCATTCGAAAATGTACCAGTTTGACTTAGTAAAGAAGTGGCCATTGAATCATGCATCTGATCAGTTAATGCTTCCATGTCTATCTAGTAATCCCATTGCTATTCTTACGTATTTCACCCCGGGTCCGGGGTTCCATCCCCAGCTGACGCACGCGTGATATCGATGTTCGGCCTGCTATGTTTGGGCTGCTTACATCACACGCTGGAAATTCCATACTTGTACCAAAAGTGCAGTGTGGAATCAACATATAATACAGTTAGCAAAATTAATAATCCCAAAATAGTATTGTTAGCCGTCAGTCATCCTTTCGACTTACATTTAGCGCATTTCATTAGCTTAGTTAATATTTTGTAAAACTCATATTTGCTCTCATCGCTCATTTCTTGAATGTTATACTTCTACCAAAATTCACAAACGTGTCATGTAGACTGACTCACTGATTTCAGCGTAGGACTTTGCAGCAGTTCAAGTCACCACACTTCACTTAGCAAGAGAAGAAAGTAAAGAGAAATGCAAAAGACAGTAAACAGACAAAAAGGATAGTAATATCGAAGAACAATATAGTTTTATTGGGTATTATAAGACACAAGGAGAGGGCGCATCCGCAACGATTGGCTTTTACCGTCCCAAGGACCCAAACCAGGAAGTATTCTTTTATTCTTCTTTTTATTCTTTGATTACAGCTTGGTCCACACCGTATTTTTTGGTGCAAGTATGGAATTTTCAGCGTGGATATCGGTAGCCCAAATTTCGCAGGCCAACCATAGATAACAGTTGTGCGTCGGCGTGGGCCCGGACCGTGTGCATGGTCGGCGAGAGTACTAACCACTGTGCCACCTTTCTACGTGGCTTAAACTAACTGTTGTGGACTTCATTGACTGATGAAGCCATGTTTTGGTCTGACCACCACTAGTTCTTTTCCAAGCTGACCCTATGTCAGCTAACATTGCCCGTCGAGGAAGGCGATGGCTAGGCATACGTAACACATGTCCTAACCATCTCAGTCGATGTAATTTCATAGCCTAGTCGATTGATTTTCCTTCCTCACCTAGCACTTGACCGATGCCTAACCTCAATGTCGCTCACCTTATTACACATCTTCACACGTGAGATAGAACGCAGACACCTATGATCGAAGAGAGATAACCTTTTCATGTCTTCTACTCTCAATGGCCATATCTCACGGCCGTAAAAGAGGACTGAGGAGCAGTGCACACGCCCTTTTGTTGATAACCGCCTGGATATCACGTCCACGCCAGAGACGGCATAAACTGGTATATACCCAACGAGCCTTCTGTATTCGTTCTAAAATTTCGCCAGAGGTCAACCCGTTGGCACTGGGTGATGGTACTTCCCAAATCGGTGAAGTGGTCACCATGCTCTCCCACTTCACTTCCTATTTCTAAGCTAGGAGTCGATGTATTCCGGTCCTGTAACACCATCTTACATTTGACAGAAGCAAATCACATGCCAAACATTCGCAGAGTGCTGCTCAAGGTGTTCAGAAGACTCTACATTTTGTCATCGTCTTCACTTCGGAGGGAGGACCATATCATCTGCATATTCTAAGTTAACGAGATCATTCCCTGGTAACAAGTCAATCTCTGAGTCACTGGGGTCAGTTAGGGTAAATCCATTGGTGTACATATGATGAAATTAAACAGAAATGCCGCTCTTAGGTCAAGTTATATGACGATTGTTCGACGCCGGTAAGAATGCCTTTTTCCTAGAATCTGTCCTGAGATAAACATATGATCAATACACCCTCTTCATGGTTTAATATCTGTCTGGTTCTCTCGTGTTCGTTTCTCCCGAACATCATTCAGTCTACGCATTATTATTGAGCCTAGAACTTTAGATACCATATTAGTCAAGCTAATCCCCGTGATCATCACAGGGAGACTTGTCTACCTTCCGGTATATGGGGATGATCAATGACTTACACCAACCCGATGGGACTTCCTCTGATTCCCAGACGTTTTTTAGTACCTCAGTTAACGCAGACAGTAAACTGTCTCCACCGTACTTATATACCTCAGGAATCATCCCATCAGGTCACGTAGCTTTGCCTTGTTTCAGATTAGTTACAACCTTAGTAACTTCAGTCACCCTGTGTCTATATCCTATTCAGGGAGGTGCTGGATGTTCAGTAAGTTGAGTGTGGCTGTAGGCCAACTAAACTGTTCCTCAAAGTATTCTTTCCAGCGTTCCAGTCGTCTATCCTGGGAGCTAACTATGGTGCCATTTTTCTCAGAGATTGTTTCACTTATCGTTTGACTGTAACCACCCGTTTTCCTGATAAGTCTAAATAGTTGTCTGGTGTTACCAATTGTCGATACCTTTTCCATCTCTTTCGCTTTTGTCACCCACCACTGTTCACAGTCGTTACGAAGACTTCTTGTTAGTTTTCGTTTGAGTAGCTTTCGCTCCTCATCATAATCGGAGCTCGATGGAATCAGTCTTCTTGCGTCAATCAGTTCGGGTGAGGCGATGGAGATCCAATGGCTCCTACTAACTTCAGATTTTAGATTATTAACTTTTACAGCTGTGTCATGTAGATATTTTACCTGATTTTACATATCCTTATTGATCCCACGTACACGATAATCGGAACTGACTATAACTCCATCTTGTACGACAGTAAACTTTTTGATTTCATAATTTTAGTGGAATAACAGTTGTTCAGCCTGAGGATGTTTTTGAAAGCAATTGCTTGTCCTTATTACCCGTTTTAAATACGTTTTTGACAACACAAAGTACGTAAGTTCACTGTTCTAAGCATCGAAGTTCGTTTTCAGCTGATGTTTACAATTATTTCTTCGAAATAATAATAACTTTGGCAACGTAAACACAAATACGCATTTCCAATCGTGTAGATAAGTCATTGAAACATTCTAGATATTACTAGGCGACCCACATTTAAATAGTATTTAACATAAATATGGAGCTTGTAGATGCCATGTGACATCATGTTGTTTGTATCTACTAAGATGTTGCAACTACAGACCATTTGATGATTAGACGGCGAATAAGTGCTTCATACGAATAGTATAGTTAAATGTTATAATTGCCCCTGTAGTTGGTTCGTCGTTCTAAACTCAAAGATAATTATTATTCGGCGCAGTTCTTGTGCACACATGAGTTCGTTCCTGACAAAAGGAAATTCAGCAGTAATATTAGACAAATCAGATTATTTAGAGAAAATCCTAGCAAAGTCCAAATTAGTTGATCTTGACAAGATAAGAATCCTGAAGAACAGTTCAGCTTTGGCACCACAAGCAATTACACATCCATGCGATAGGATGGGATAAAAAGACAGTCCTAAAGTCTAACAGACCAATGTGAAGGGATTGAAAACGGAAGCTTTACTTATTGAATCAACTGAAAATGCGTCTAATAAAAATGACTGAACACTTGTCCATGTGAAACGAAAGTTTCGAAGTTGTGGTTGTAGCTGATATGATTACAAGCAAAAAATTGTGTTCGAAACGTCATTCAGTAGATGATACTGATTCACTGCATAGTATATCTAATAAGCCAATTAATGCGGAATTGCCCAAGTCTAGCTGTCACAAGCTAAACATCGTATTTTCGTAGTTATTCCTCTTGATGCGTCTGAGTAAAGCGAGAACATACTGTTCAGGATAAAATAACGTACTTATATTTCGTTGGTGCTTTTAGCTGTGTGCAATCATGAGTAATCTAACATCAATACACAAATACTGTAGCTATCGGTCGTAAAAATGATGAAGAAGCATAATTCTGTTACCGTAATTATATCTTGTTTCGACAATAGAGTTGCTAAACCAAGTTTTGCCTTAATTCGCTGCCAGGCTATTTAAGGAATTCATTCAAGAAAATCATTTTGCCTTTACACAAGTATATTTCTGAATCTACGCAACTACTTAAACCGTAACATTCGTTCGTGATCCTACAGTACTTCTAACCTGTTTCTGCACATACTACATGGGGTTAAAAACTGCTTTTATTCTATTCCTTACGCTACTTTGTCACTTTATAGTATTTTCTACAGCTTTAACGACCTATGGCTACATTAACTCGACGTTTGGTACGTTGATGTTAAATTGTTCATGAACTGAAGACATTTATTTCCCGATACGAATTTAAAACAAGCAATAAATGTTAATAAAGCAGGATTTAATGAATTCATCAAATTTCGGTAGAACTCATCAGCTGAATACTCTACATACACGGATATATTTACTTTTGAAATTACATTGAGAGATATAAGACTGATAAGGAAACAAACTACAATGAATTGAACATGCAGAAATACAGGTGCGAATGTTTTCCAGGTCATGTTCAAATAGATAAGGGGAGAGAATGAGATCAAAATTAAGATAAATTGCATTACGCTTCAATTACATCACTTAGATATTAGTCTGTTTGCAACTCTCGTTATATTCCCTTATGACTAATTGTTTATCTAAGTGATGTAATCGAAGCGTAATGCAATTTATCTTAATTTTGATCTCATTCTCTCCCCTTATCTATTTGAACATGACCTGGAAAACATTCGCACCTGTATTTCTGCATGTTCAATTCATTGTAGTTTGTTTCCTTATCGGTCTTATATCTCTCAATGTAATTTCAAAAGTAAATATATCCGTGTATGTAGAGTATTCAGCTGATGAGTTCTACCGAAATTTGATGAATTCATTAAATCCTGCCTTATTAACCTTTATTGCCCGTTTTAAATTGTTCATGGTTGTCGCAACGAAGCAAAATGACGTCATGTCATCCTGCACATTATGTTTCCTTTGCTATGTTCAAGCAATATTCTCGGTGCCATGTTACTCTGAATAGTGATTGCTTTTGATGAAATCTACCTCTGATAAGTTTTTACTATACAGGCACTATTCTTTGTCTGATGAGTAAATTCTCTCTGATTATTATTCTTCAATATTCGAATAAATCCACGATTTATTCCTAACGTTAAATGCAAGGCAAAACCGTTTACTGCATATACAGTTGGACGTTGTTTGTCCACATTCCTGCGTTTTCGTCTCGAAATACTCACAAAGCTTTGTTTCACAATACAAACGTCATTGAACGAAAACGTACGAATACTGATTTAATAAAGTTTGATATATTCACTAACCTACATAAATAATAAAGAACCAAGACAGTAAGCAACTTTGATAGAGCAAGTGAGTTTACCGAAAGTGAAGTTGAATTCTCGCAACTAATTATATTTGCATAGTTGTTTACAAACATATCATTCCTAGTAGGCCTTTACAATATGGTGTCTGACAAGTTATAATCTATTGCAAAGTCGGTGGATAACTTGAAATACACACAAGTCAAATTCCCAAGGTAACCTTGGTCACATGCCTAGATTACAAATTCAATAGGAAAACTTTCAATAATCTACTGTTAAATATAACACAACATGCTAATCACCAACGACGGGAGGAATTAGAAAGGAAGTCCTCTTTCTCACCTACACGCGAAGAAGCTTAGTTAGGATCCGGAAAAACAGTTCATTATTATGAATTCAATCGAAACCCCTCGCAGTAGTACCAAGCTGGCTCAGAGATGTTGCATCACGTAAAACGTTACCGTCGGCAACTACCAACATCTACCTTCTCTTGACTCTGTATTTAGAATGACCAACCAGAAAGAACAAATGAAGAAACCTAGCGGTGCAAAAATTGGACAAGCGCCTACTGCTCATCGAATGTACGGATGGAAATGGAGGAGCGTGCCCTTCGTTGAGAGCACATCGAAGTGATACCATACGCCTCGAACGAAACGCAAATGGAAAGCGAGTTTGGCGTTGGTCCTACAGGCAGTTAAATGTCATGAAAAAAAACTGGCGCCTATCAGGACCTACTACTACTTGGAATGAATAATGACGCTTAACAAGTTACACAACTTCAACTGTCAGGCAGCAGTATACAGGGTGAAAGGTGGAATCACCAAAATCTAGAGGACCAATATATGAACCTTCACGAGATAAGTTACTTCGGAGTTCACAAAACAAAACGCCTTATGAACCATATTTATTAATTCAAAACACTTGTTCACAAACAAGTTGACTGTTCCCTAATACCTATACAAAGTAACGACGCTGGCATACAATTGTAAAATTGAGGCAGATAAACTGGTACTTTTCGGTAAAAAAAATTTCAGTGACGGTCCTATCCTAAACTGTACTTTCAGACAACGTACATATGTAAACAGCTGAATACAACAGACTTTTAGTAACAGAAAGGAAATCTTAACGGAGATTACATGCAAGTTTTCATACATGCCTGCTGCCTAGACTTAATATCACTAACTGGTTTTATCATAGCTCAAGTTCTGAACTGGCTGTAACTTGTATTTTAAACTTCTGATGAAATCAAATTTCGTTAGAGAAGGAACTAGTGTTATAAACATCTTCATAAATTGTGGTTATACACACCAACGCTTGCACCAAACCAGGGGAAGCACATGTATTTTGTCCCACACGAATGCACATAATACGTGGGCCTCATTACAATTTTGTCTACCTGTAAATATTTAGCGGCCTTACAGGAACATAACCCCATAAGCAGACAATCAATTAGAGTGAGAAGTCGGTCCAGTGCAGAGAGGTCTTATAATCAGTCAAAAATCAATGCACATATATCCTTACATTCTGAAAAGTTATGGGATGAAATATAGAAATAAGTACTGCATTAGCAGGGTGGTTTATCATAATTATTCCCACTGTCCATGATGCATACGAAGGTTCATACTTAACCAGTTAGCGACTAAAAAGAATCGAAATGATACGATTTTAGAAACAACATACCATAATTGCATTGACCATATCATTGTTATTTTCACGTAATGCCCGAATAGCCTTGCTTCTTGATACTCCCGCTTGTTGCATGATAAGTTCTATATCCTTCTCACCCAAACCAGTGGCATCAGGCTGCACAAAAACCAGTAAAAACAATGTTATCTTACTTCTTCCTCATCTTCAGACTCTTCGGCAATTGCATTCTTGGAAACTGATGACACTACGTCCTTCGACAAGCTACCTGAGGTCCCTAGATCTGTTCCTCCCATAGCCTGACTGCGCAGCTTTTCCGCCGCTGCAATTTGGGCTTGGGCAGAAATGTCCTCTACTTTGGCCTCACCGAATATTATGTACGTGTCAGAGGCTGACGACTTGTAAACCTCAGCGCGACTTATGACAAACATAATGCTTTTTGCCTTCCGAATAGTGACGCGGCACACTCCCTGAACCAATTTTAATCCCAACTTTGACATCGCTTTCCTTGCTTTCTTCTCACTACGCGACTGTTTGCAACGACTTAACAATTCGTCGGCTAGTTGAGAAGATTTAGCATCTCCCTGTTCTTTGGTATCTTCAATGTCTGGAGCGGAGTCATCTGAATCACTCCCTGTATCTGACGCTATCGCTTTGTCTTCATCTCTATTTGCCACACTTGGAACCATCCCAACAACCAACGAAAACAAACCACGAGCTATCCACTTTGTAAACCACACCTCACTTGGCCTTCGTCATTCAAACAAATTTCCGTAATCCTATAGAGGAATTAAAAACTGAAATCTTCATTCGGTCGTCTAGCCATCATCTATTGTTACGATTTCGCGCTGTTGAAAGTTTCGAAAGTAAATTAGTTCGTCGAGGAAAGGCGTCTGAGTGTTACACATCAATATTCAGATTTTAAGGAAAGAGGGCTCTTGTGGCCTGTGTTATTCCTTGCAAAATATATCCCTGAAGCTATCCGCTTTCTTCCTGAAAGCGTTCACCGAAGGGGCTGCTAGTACTGAATCAGGTAAGTAGTTCCAGTCGTCGACCACTCTGTGAGAGAATCTAAATTCCACACGTATTTTACTCAACCCCGGTTTGAGCACTTTCTTGTAGTGAACTCGTAAGTGTATTCTGGAAGGGTAGAAAAGATGTGAAAGGTCAATCCCCAAATCACCCTTTAATATACGGTACGCCAAGATTAATTCGCCTCTCCTCCTTCGATATGATAATGGGAAGAGATTCAAATTCTCCATCCTCTTATAATAAGGGAAGTGTAAGATACCACTAACTAATTTGGTTCCCACCCTTTGTACTCTTTATGTGCCTCCTTCTTGAAGCATGGAATAGCCGCTTGTGTATGGTATTCTAGAGAGGCCTGACATATGTTGCATGGAGTACTTTCAACATATACTAATCTAATCGTTTGAAGGCTCTTCAGAGTGCCCATAACATTCGAAGAGCCTTAGTTGCGGCTGCAATGCAATTTTCAGTCTTTTCTGGCAGTTCTGTGTCCCCCAGGAAGTACGGCGTGTAAGATCTGTGACCTAGGTGCATTACCACGCTTTTCTTGGAATTAATTTCCAGACTCCAAACCATTCAGCTGATTTGTCTAGATAGTCTTGTAGTAACAACCTATCATCATTATTACTTACAGTTTTCCATATCTAAATATCGTCTGCAAATAATAAAGAAGATGACGCAAGAATTTTCGACACCTCACTTACGTATGATAAGAACAGCAGGGAGCAAAGTACAGTTCCCTGAGGTACTCCATTTATTTTTATTTTTTCATTTTTGATTACAGCTTGATTCCATGCTGTATTTTTGGTACAAGTATGGAATTTTCAGCATGGAAATCGGTTGCCCGAATTTCGCAGGCTGACCATAGATATCAGGTGTGCGTCAGCGTGGGGTCGAACCCCGGACCATGTGCATGGTCGGCGAGAGTCCTAACCACTGTGCCATCGACGCTTTCCACCCTGACAGTACATCATTAACCCTTACCTTCTGCCTTCTATCCAACAAATAGTCGCTAACCCACTCACGTAAACGCTGGTCTAATCCAAAACGTTTGAGTTTATCAAGAAGACGTAAATGTGATATATTATCGAACGCTTTACTAAGATCGATAAAGACAACATTCATTAGATGGCTCTTATCTTCACCTTCCAACGAATCTTCCCTAGCTAACAGCAAGTTTGTCAGGCAGGATCGTGTCAGTCGTAATCCATGCTGTTCCACTACCAGTAAGCCATGTTTCTACTTATGCGCCAAGATCTGATCCCCTATGAGCGTTTTTAATACCTTTGCTATAACACACGTCAGAGTTACAGGCCAGCAGTTAGACACTAACTGCCTGTTCCCCTCTTTGAAGATAAGGCTTATAAAAGCACCTTTCCAGTCCACAGGTAGCCTAGCCTGGGTCAGAGACATTTGAAAATCACAGCGTGTGATTTTCGATGTATATCTATACGTGTAACAAACACATACGTTAATACTAATTCATAAATACCTCGGAAGTGAGGCTTCAACAATTATTTCCGGATAATCAATAGAATATGCCGGAATGATTAGTTAACTTAAAGAAGGTGTGAGTAATTTAACGTTTTTTCCATCACGACCATTGCGCGTTGACATGGGCGCCAGTGCGAGAATCCGGGTCACACTGACAAAGCTGAAATGGAAAAAAACGACGAAGCCAGCAAACCACAGGCATACCCACAACACCATCACGCACATCGACGACGACCTACGTCTTCCGGTTGAAGGCATCCACTTGACATCTTGCAACGAAATCGCAACTTGCTAGAATGACTCCTGCGGAAGGCAACGTGACCGTAGGAGCACCTCATGATACTCTACGCGCATCCTCTTATCTATTCACTACCAATTACCACTGCGATCGCCTGTCATTCATTCTACTTCAGTTCTAGTAACGGTGACATATCAAAGCCTCAGTCGTCTACACTCTCGCTCCCCGGCGTGTGGGATCACAGCGAACAATTATCTCCGTAAGCATCAATCAATTCATTCACGGATGTGGAAGACTCGAAACAACTTCAGAAGTAATCACGATGAGAATTTTAACAAAATTATGCAATAACAACAAGATACGAAAACAACAACTAAACACGATGAATCCAAAAAACACCAATTGATATGACACACCACACATATATACAAACTGTACACACAAACTCGCGGAGCATATCTTGATGGAATTCCTTTGAAGAATCGCGGGACTTACACCAGTACGCCTACAACCCTTCTCACGTTGACGATTGTAAGTTGTGGAATGTCGGACACAAACAAGAGTAACCAACAATTACATCAATTGGAACTCACAAACTATTTAACACAAACATATGTACAATCAACACATCAAATGTTGTGGATTCTGGCACGGCAAACTACCCTTGAAGAATTGTAGGACTTACAGCAGTACGCCTACATTCCTTCTCAGGTTGATGATACAAGTGGAAGTCGTCCGGACACAAACAGAATTACCAACAGCTAGATGACAGATGATATCAATTCAGTATATACAATATGAACATATGTACAAAATCACACACCAAGCACATTGGACCGCTCATTGATGCGCTACCCTTTGAAGAATTGTAGGACTTACAGCAGTACGCCTACAATCCTTCTCAGGTTGACGCCCTAGTTTGGAAAATCGTCGCAGAGTTCATTTGCTGACTTCCCTCTATCAGCTATATCCTCAAATCTGAACGGTAACACGCTCATGACATTGTATCGTAGAATATAGATGACGAACAAACACACGACGTATCTGATCAACCAAGTGTAGAAACAGAGTAATTTACACCAAAGATAATAGCATTCAATTAGTAACTTGAAACTAGAAATGCCTTTATTCATGCAAGTCAATTTAACAATTACTCTCTCGGTTACACTTGGCTTATCCTCACTAAACTGAGCAATATCTTTCGTCTTTTCAAACGCACCTATACTATCATAGTCATTGCAGTAGATACTTGAGTTGATGGGCATCTGTTTCATTGTGGATGACAACACCAACGACGACTGACTGATACCAGTTGATGAACTTAGCGGTGGACCAGAAGCGGTTGTGGTTCGGCTTTCAGATAGTTGTCTAGCTGCAAGATTACCACCACTGCTGCCTTTTACTATCAGCTCAGGTTTAGCACTATCATCTGATGATAGGTGGGCTACACGCTGATCAATTACACTGACGGTCTAACAAGTATCCATGCCTTCTCCAACTGCATCTGCGTTCAATTCTACTTCACGTTGTAGTTGTACAGAACCTTTATTTAACTTAGCAGTAGTAGGCATTCCCCTCATTTCCTCATGATCAACCAAAGACAAATCTGCACTATCATGATCATCATCACAAATATTCAATTTACCATCATTTATCTGGTCGACTTCATCATTTTCAAACTCTTTATTAACAGAAGTGGGTGATTTTGGTTCCTCCTCACAAATCAATAAAGGTTTTATATCTTCACTCTGGCTAGTAATACTTTGTAAACTTGTGGAGTCAAAACTGTCCTCTGAGACTGTAACTCTCCTCTGTGACACTCTATTCAACAATCTGTTACCAGTTGTAACTGCAGACTTCTTGACCGCACAGTTATCGTCACACAATTCGGAGTCAGACATTGATCTCACATTTAGCTTATCACTAAACTTGCTCACTGGTTCACAGTTCACCTTTGTATGCACCTCTTGCAAACGTGTAAAACATAACCGTGTTTGTCTCGCAACTTGTAACCTATCTGTTGGCGGCGTCTCACGAAAGCTGTTACACTCACTAAGTTTATATGAATTACTAGGCACCATAGAGTTTTGTCGATATCCACCTCTCTGAGACCCTTTCGTCATCAATGATTGCGTTTCCTCTCAGACTGCTCTATTCTAGGGGTGGAATGCAATATACTGGCAAGCTTGCTCATAGATTCATTGACACTATATTTTACGAGTTTCAAGATACTATCAAACTTTGGCTCGATAGCCCCATCCTCCATACGTGAGTTTATCTTAACCCACTTCGTTTGCAGTCGAGTTGGTAGGCGTCATTTCTGTCCATCACTTAATAAAAAATTACTCAGCATGATCTCCAACTCCTTTAAAATTTTATATAATCAGCCGGGTTTCCATCGAAACACCGTGGTTCTAATTTAGGGAGTTTGTTTTTCCTATTATCCCTGAACGGCGAACAGTAACATCAACTATGTCATGCTTAACATCAGACGCATCGTTACAATTAACAGACAAGTCACCATGGCTTACTTTCCTGTTTGCATCCAAGACATTCTGTCCCTTCTTTGACCCAGGCATTGTTGAACTTGACCCAATTCCAAAAGGCTCCAGATATTGCTTGTTCAAAGAGGACTTGACCGGCACCAGGAAAGATGAACGGTGACTATCCAAAATCGTGGCAACTGTCCAAAACCGTTTAAAAACTGACGTTGTACCGTCAGAAACTGTCAGCCACGTCTTATAAACCGTTCATGCCCAGTTCTTGCTTCACTCGGGCTTTCGCTCTTCCTTGAAGTTTCTCAGAAACGCTTAGTAACAACGGACGCAAGACCCAAAACACCAATTGGCGACTCGAGGATTCTTTATTGTAACACCAACATATAAACACTGTTACAACTAAGCTTTACAACTAAGGTCTGTGAACAAA